GCAAAGCTTTTAAGCATGCAGTTAATACATCCCCATTTAGAAAAGTGCAGATGTAGCTACATTTTGCCAAGTGAGACCTGGGAGAACGTGCCAACTAAGGGACTTTGGTAAGTGCTTTGGTGAGCAGGGATGGGCAGCTGATAGTGGACCACAGAAGGGCAAACAAGGAGGGGGAGCAGCACCAGTGGCATTGGAGCAACAGGAGCAAGGAGAGCTGAGTCACCCCATGACTGAGAAAAGCCCACTCCAATTTCAGTGCCTTTGTTGGCTCTGGTATCACCTTTTCCAAGTCACTTCACTGTGCCATTAGAGTTAGTAACAGCGACCTCTTTGACAATATCCTTCTGAGTTGTACACAAACGAAGAGCACATTGTGAAAGCCAAGTGTTAATGATGACACTTTTGGAGAAGTTACCTGGCTTCAGTGGCAATTTCCATTCTGTCTCTAGAACTTGCTTGAAGTTCTTGATTCTGACCTTAGGGACACATCTGGGGCCTCACATCTTCCGCTGCTTCGCACTTTTGTAGTCAGGATCCCATTAGCTCAGGGACAGGGAAAGAGACAGAAACCAGGGCGAAATGCTCAGCTCATGGGCTCAGATTAGTTCCTCAAACACCACGGGCAGATTTAAGAGCAGCCAAGGAAAAGTAACGCACAACCCCTCTGCTTGTGGCAGGCTGTGCGTGCCACATTCATGTGATCCAGCGTCAGTGCCTGCAGGGAAAACAGCAGCTTTCAGGCAAGTTGGTTTCAAGAATGAAAACAACTGAGTGTATAGGAAGGAAAGTGAGATTCTGTTGCTAGAAGAAAAAATTGACACAGTAAATAAAGGACCAGATCAGCTGAAGAGCACAGCCTCTCAGGAGGCTCTGGGCACTGCCTGGGGCCAAACCCCAGCTCAGCAGAAAAGCAGGGCACGAATCCAGATGTTCATGTTGTCCCAAATTACATGCTCAGAGTACTCCCCAATACCCAGGTAGCCTGTTGCCACAACTGCTACTTACCTTTGGTATATGGGCTGTTAATTTACTGGAGTGTTTGAAGCACTACATTAAAATGTCTCTGATGATCTCATTTTGGAAGCCCTCCTTCTACAAAATGGTTCACAGGAAAGTTTCTTTTTGGAGATGTACATACCAAAAAATT